GGGGGCTCCACTGTATCGTTAATGTATCGTATCGCTGGCAGCGTATCGAGATGTGTATCGAATCGGCCTCAGTGGTGGGGATTCACATCCCTAGTCTGGAGGTATGGAAAGAGGAGGAGACCATAAGTGGTCCAGTCAGCCTGATAATAACACTTACAATTTCATCTGTTCTACGTGTTAAAACATTTCTGTTTTTTGATGGTGTGTTTCTCTTGAACAAGCTTGTCTGTTCTTTGGGTTTATTCAGTTTGAGACAAAGGACTACATGTACACTAAAGCTAGTTACAAAGTAGTGCATGATTGCTGAAGATATTTATGATCCAAAGTGTGAAAATGATCTCGTAAAAAATGTTAAACATCTGAGAAACATCTGAAAGAATATCTTTACTGCTGGATGACATCAGTTGAAGTAGTTTTATTTTCCTGTTAAAGTTCCAGTGTGTGTTATATTTAGGACAAACTACAGTTTGAAATGCAATATAATATGCACAACTATGTTTTTATTCACGTATAATCACCTGAATATAAAAATTGTTGTGTTTTTTTTACCTTAGAATCAGTCGTTTATATATCTACAGATGTCACGGGTCAACTTCTATGCAATCCACCACGTTGAACCGCCATGTTTCTACAGTAGCCCTAAAGTGACAAACCAAACACTGGCTCTAGATAGCAGTGTTCACAGTGTGTTTCATGGTAACCATAGTTTTGTAGTTTTGTGCTTGGAAAGGGAGGATGAAGCGATGTAGTTGTGATCTGCAAGTGTGTTCTTCTGCTATGATTTGTAGCTATACACTGAATTGAATCATCTTATTTTCACAAAGTATACACAGGTTTCTGTAACATAGGCCTTTTCCACAGCAGATATTTGACTTGTCATAAAAGCAACACCAGTGTCTTTTTATAACAGAACTTGGGATTGGTCTTAATCCTGTCCTTTAGGATTGCCTTGTGCATATCATAAACATAAAACATGTGTAAATTTATCTGTATCAATATAAGAAGATGAAAATAATACATTCCTCATGCCCACAGGCGAATTCACTTTCCTCCTGTCCTGTAAGTAGCCATCAGCTGTCCTAATCCTACAAGTGTTATGTAACTCAGAAAGTAAAAGAGGATATGATGCTCGAAATACCTGCTATGGTAATTTAAGTTAAAGTAGCCGCATTTTAAATCATGAATGATGGGTAATAAGGTTTAGCAGCATATCAGTCTTACTGAGTTAACTTACGTTACCTTGGTTATGGGTTATGTTTAAGCAGGATGCTGCAGAATAACATCTTTAGAGAAATATATTTTAAGGTATCCTGAATGAGAGCAGATGTCTTTGTTTGAAAGTTAAGGCATTTGCAACATTTAAGAGAGGCAGGCCGAAAATAAAAAGAACAAAAGAAGTTGTTCTTGCGCACTTTGGGATAATTTCGCCCTCGTTGTGTCTTCTCATTGACAGAAAAAGAAAGAGCAGGAAACGTTTTGTTGTTTAAAGCGTGATAGAAATGTTCTTGTTCACTGATAAGCTTCTGAAATAAAGATATCAAAACCAATATGTCTTTATGTGATTTTATTTCTTGCAAGAAAGGTCAGTCGATCCAACAAAAGCATCACACAAGTGTTGGATGGAAAAGACAAAGATTCACAGAGTAGCAGCTCATTTATAGCTAACTCTAGGGCGGGGAAGAGCAAGGTCAGGTCTCCACATAACTCTAACAAAGTGTGTCTGTTCTTTATAAGTTGGCTCCTGTGAGTCTCCAATTAACTATGGTTCCAGGAGTATCACCGGGTACGGGAGAGATAAGTCTACGGCTCTTGTGACTTAAATATCAATGATACATTTCTTACTACCTAAAAAGGAATCTCTGCTAGGGTACAAACAACCTAAAGAACTATAAAAGGAGGCAGTGTAACTCACTCAGGTTATATGTTGCATGAACATGATCATGTTAAGGTTACATTGTAAAAGGCACTCTATATAAGGCAATATAATAATTTTCCATTACAATATCGAGCCATGATATTAGTCCGGATATGAAAATGCACATGCTGCTGTCCTGATTATTAATTAATAACATTTTTTGTAAGCTCCCAATCTTAAAGATGTAACTGCGCCTATGTTTCTGATTAATAAACATTAATTCCTTTCATTCTCATAAGTGGATATAGCATTTTGGAGTTACACATTTCCCTCTCCTTGTTGGAAAGTCAACTCTGTTACAGTAAATGATTTCCAAAATTATATGGACTTCTTCTTGTCATCAATAGGTCAGTCCGTGGTCATAAAAAAAATACATTTTCATATTGAAATGCCGAAGTGGCTTTCAGCAGAGCATGTGATGGTTCATTGAGAGCACTCTGCAACAGCACATCAAGGAGAGACAGAGGGAAGAGAAGACAAGAAGTCACCAGACGTAAGTTTAAACTCTGTTTTTTTACTTGAGATTTCATGTTGTGGGTTTAAAGGTGGACAGTAGAGGGAAATTCAATATCTAAATATATCCAATATGTTCTGGAGCAATTTGTCCTTCAGTACTTCTATTTAAAATTAAAGAATGAAATCAATATTGTGAATTTAGCATTTTCATCCATTTAATGATCTTATTTTTTAACTTTTACAAATGGATACAGTAACAGAAACACCTGACAATATAATGAAATCAACTAATATACACCTGCAGCAAACACAACTTTTGTTAGGCTCTCAGAAAGTTTAGTTTTTGGTGACATTGTGTCCTCATAACAAATACTTTAAGATGTTCCTCTAATTTCGTGCATCACCTATTTTTTATTTGTATTTTACCTAAATATGTAGCTTTCATTGTCTACAAAAAGCATTTATGAATGTATACTGTTTGTTCTGGTTTGACTATGATTTGCATATTTACAACATATCCTATATTCATCTTCCTTATTGGAGTAACCTTTGTATACTTGAGGGAGTGCTGGAGTTTTTTTAACCCAGACAAACAGTAAGTGACAAACAGTTTGGTTCACTGCACACTACAATATCAGTTTCATCCAACAGAGCAAAGATG